ACCATTTCCATAAAGACTGAGTTTTTCCCCTGCTCTGCTAGTTCATATGCTTGTCTGCATGCCTTCCATGCTAAGTGGTCTCTCTTCAACTGCACCAAGTACTTCAGATTCTTCAGGAACAGAATAATTCTTCGATATCGAATTGGCCATAGGCCTGTTTCAGAGAATAATAGTGCCACCATTGATTTATCATTCAGTCCCAACATCCTCCTAATGAAGTAATGCTGTACACTCTCTAATTGCTTTCTTCTTACATCATAAATGTCCACTATCACTTCTGCTCCATTTTTCAAATAGGGATCAACCCTGCCCATGTACAGCAACCATAAGTCCCATATTGGAATATTTTTCCCCACAAACACCTTTGCATGTAGTACTGCTCCTGCAGTCTTTTTTGCTTTCTCAGCACTCTCCTTGTACTGCTGCTGATACATGTCAACTCCTGTTGTCTGGTGCCAAATTCCCATGTACTTCATCTCTTTCTTCTTTTTCAACCTTTTGCCATACAGAGTAAATGGCAAGCCCTCTGTCTCCTCCTTTCCATACACTGCATAAACACACTTTGGAACTCATGCAATAAATCCAGTCTGTGCAGAATATTCTCCAAATTGGTTGAGTTTGGATTGGAAGCTTGTAGGGCACATTGTAGTCATCAATACATCATCTGCCTGTTCTGTATGGTTGACCACTTTGTCATATAATACCACATCCCCTGGGTGCTCACTAAGTCTGAAGTCTGCAATTGCTAGATTGAATAGCATAGGTGTTCCTGGGTCCCCAGTCCAAGCTCCAATATTTGAAGTAAATGCCTCTGAGAAGGAATCTGCCACCTGAACCACATTTCCCAACTTGCAGAAAGTTGACAACATTCTGTAGAGTCCTGCTCATGATCAGGTTAGAGTCATATTTACTCAGAAAAGTAGTCGGAGTCTCACTGTTCTAGCGCATCAACAGTGTATTTGACTGAAAACCTCATTTGTCCACACACTAGAGAATTTTTAGATTTCATAGCCAGTAAACTGAAGTGTGCTTTGATTGCGGCATCAAGCGACAAAGTTGCCATGCATTGGTACTGCAATCCCTCCCCGCTTATATCAATGCACCAAGGTTGGCTAGGAACACAGAGCCCAAGGGCCTACGAGTCCATTACATGTCAACATTCTAGTGCAAAAGGACGACCGGCGACCAAGCATGAGCACGTACCTCATTCAATATCAGACAGGTGTATCCTAATTTTGCGAGTTTGTTGTTTCCTCGGTCAGAGTAGTATTCAAGGAATGATTTAGTATCTTCGTAGTTTCGTTGTTCTCGGTTTGGCATTGTCGCGATAAATTCAACAAGCCCTAGTCTGTGAAAGGGGGTGTCTTAGAGAGTTAGAAAACGACAATGTGTGATTATGTACCTCTCCTGAGTTGAACAGCGCTGGGAAATACAAAAACCGTTCTCCCTTTCATCCATATTGATTTTTGGTTAGGCGCTCTCCGATGGTAGCTTCATCAGAGACGGCGTCCAAGTTCGAGATCAGGGACGCCGATTTTCCCAAACCAAGTTGCTATGAACAATTTCCTAGACAGCTCAAAAGTAGAACTTGAAAGAATAGTAGACTCTGAAAACACATACCTGTAGTGCACATACACCGGTAAATTGTGGAAATTTACCTGGCCACCACTTCGCTTGACAATCACGCCCCCTTGAAACGCGTGAAAATCGCTAGTCACGATCCGTAGTTTCTTTGTAGGAAAATACGATGGGTCAACTGAAATCTGAGGGAAAATACATCCAAAGGTCGACGAGGGCTGCACCCGACGAGATCGAATGACCATTGTAAGCGCCTGTGTATGACATCTTCCATAGCACTCGAGTCATGCGTAGTAACACCGCGGATATCGATGCGGGTCAGTGTATAATCCAATGGCTACGGGACTCTGTTATGTAACGACGGTTGAAGACGGTAACAGTAGTGCGTTGAACAGTGAAACGGGAACCCAAGCATTCGTAAACGCGCCCAGATCCACGAATCCCAGCCTCGATACCTTGATACCGAAGAAGTGAGCTTGACAACAGCTGACATGGACAACCTGTAGGGAATAACAGATAGAGCTCCTGTGGGTCGGCTTAGTTCAGAGGCCGCCTGATGATAGCCTGCCTGTACGATTTCACCACGCCTACCCACTGACCGCAGCAATTTTTCGTCGCCACGATTCGGATTAGGAAGTAGTTCCTCCTTCCAAAACTCGTCCAAACCGGCCTATCGACCCTTGAAAGCGTCCATATCCTTACGCTGCATGCGGTTCTTAACATGAGGAAGAGATAGACTGCTGGCTGCTCTGTCTCTCAAGCTTCGCAATGCGCATACTCTACTTCTCCCATGTCGTGAATATCCAGAAGTCTCATGTCTTCAATGTTTCTATGTCGGGTTCCCAAGCAGCTGGACCTGCGAGCCTTGAAAGATCAAACATGTGTACTAGAGGTTTGTAAGCAGCTCACAAAGTTTTTTTAGTCCGCTGCATGGTTAGTATAGTGGAAGCCGATAACAAGAATACAGACATTCTGTTCTGGGAAAGTAAGGAGAAAATGTCTTCCGATGATTTAATCCAGCATCCTAGCTGCGTCTTGCTAGTATGGTTTACGGTCATTTTCACTTCCACTCGAGGGTTGGAGTTTCCTATCGACCTGAATAATTGTGACATGTTCCATCCCGTAGGTTCCACGGCACCTATTGAGCAAATTTAGACCATATTCACAAGCATAACAGATTATCGCGTGGCCTATCGAGAGCATACCTTTCGCATTGAGGACTCCTGTTTCAAACTCGACGCCACACCACTCTCTTTCCCGAACCACCACACACCTTGATACATCTCCCTCAACTTCGATCCCAGAATAGATGTGCCAGTAATCTGCTTGAACATGTGTTTCACTTGTCAGGATAGATGTCGAGGAATATATCGTTTAATTTTGTTACCATGCCGTCATGCTCCGAGCTTTTCATCGGCCATGCCGCACGTCCAACACGATTGATTGCCATCCCAATACAATTTGCTGTGCGTCCAACCTTCGTTTTTGTGTCTATATGTTAGTGATATCCATGTGGCTTCTTCACGGATTTGATTTTGTGTTGCTTCTCCCTTTCTGATTCCACATTGTTCATTGTTTCTGACTTGGTCCTTTTCCCTTTTCCCCTCCTCCTTTTCCCTTTCCTTATCATCCTTCTCATTGTTGTTTTTCTTCTTGATCTTCCCCTCGGTCCCCAAATTTTCCTTTTCCAGTACTATGTTTTCTTTGAGAACTTACACATTCCTTTGAAGCTGAGTGTTTCTTGCTCCAAGTACCATCCTCCTTGTCACTTCTTACATTGCTTTACGCCTTAGCACAAGTTACGGACTGACTTTTCCTGGCTGAGGAATATGAAGGGAAATTTTGGCGAGGACCTGCTGATTTCCCCGATAAAAAAATGCAAAGGGCGGCTGAATCCAAATCAAATTTGGGAGAGAGGTTGCACTGGTGGAACATGATAGATAGTATCTAATTAGACTCGAACCAGTCTGCTGCTGAGAAGCAATATGCGGAATCACTTTCTTGGCAGAGAGACTGGAACTTAATCCGGCACTTTTGGCAGGTCGGGTTTTTATCACGTGCTTCTTTTGACTTCAACAAAATTTCGAAAATAGGTGTGTCCTGAACATCAATTTAAAAAAAATGTAAATAGAGAGAAAGTTGTACATTACTTTCCCAATAAACGAGTTTATTACCATTTTTTGAAATCTAAGCTCATTCTTGAGATATTGAGCAATCTCCATATGAGATGACATCACATGTTTCCATCAATATGCACGCCTGGGAACAATAAGTTGACTGTGTTATAAAGATCACTCAATATCTCAAGCACAAGCTCAAATTTTAGCAGATAGTAATAAACTCGTTCATCAGGAGGGTGATGCACAACTTTCTCTCTATTTACATTTTACTAAAATTGATGTTCAGGACACGCCTATTTTCGAAATTTTGTTGAAGTCAAAAGAAGCACGTGATAAAAACCCGACCTGCCAAAAGTGCCGGATTAAAAACCAGTCGCTTCGCTGACACCTTTGAGCGCCAGTTTCCAAAGTGTCAACATCCGAAGCTACTGGCTTGAGTCTAGTATCTAATTGAAATTTATCTAATCCAACAAAACATGTGATGATGATCATGAAGGAAGGCTAGAAGTCTTTTCGTTTTAATCCCTACCCACCTTTCCTACTCAAAGTTGCGGGTTTCACTCAGCCATAGTCAAGGAGGAAGTCGTAGGAGTCCTGAAACTTCACTAATTTTGCAGGTGTTCAAAAATTTCAAAGGTACTATGTACACAACTCTTCTCAAACTTCGTGTCAACACCAGCAGGATCAAGAGCTGAAGAAACTGCTGATAATAAGTATCTCTGCGCTCTTCTTGGGCCATGATCTTCTGTGTGGCCCCACGACTACTAGTCGTTACCCTTCAACGCACTGGCATGGGTCGGTCACTCGCAGCTTATTGGTCGACTGGCCAATGTTTCCAAGAGCGACATGGCTACGTGAAGCAAATATGACGCGTTGTAGTTGATTAAATGATCTATAACAAATGATTTGGATGTGGAACGATTCCACATCAGGGAAAAATGAAATCTATGTGTATGAGTAAGGAGTCTATGTAGCTAGAGTACTCCAGTAGACATCCCCCCCTATATGAACAGTACAGTATTAGTATGTATAACAAGGACACCAAACCAACTGTCTATGTAGCAGTCCGTATCATTGCGTATAGCTGCGTATAAGCAATATATTTGTATGTACAATTACAAATTAGGCCCCCTACTTGTACACAGCGTTATATACAACTACATAGCACTACGATAGAAGTACAGTCCTATATTGTAGTGCTACTACAGGCTACAACATTTCCTTTTTGTCGCTTCGCTGATAGCAGGCTGGACTAGTACCAATGATGCAGAATCGAGAATTATATGCCATTTAGACACTACACTACTTTCTAGCAATACGCTTTGGTCTAGGAGGTACTGCTGAAATAACAGGACGTTTCAGCATTGCATTTGGTTTCCTCTTTGTTTTTGTTAGACTTTTCTTGTCTGGTATCTCATCGACGGGCTCTGTCCCTTGCATCCCATCCTCTATTTCCATATTAGTCGGCTCGTTCGATATCATGATAGCTATAGAAGTAAATGAATCATAGTAATACTAGAGAAGATTAGAGCTCACGTTTGTCCAAATTCACGAGTTTCAATGGCACTGCAGGAGTCCGATGGTGACTTTCGGGATTCTCTTCCTCTGGACTGGGGTGTGAGATCGGCAACAGCGCTATGGAAAATGCATTTAGAAATGGATGTTAGAGAGTATTCAACTTACATTTAGTAAGATTCACCGCATTGAAGCCATTAGCTCCAGCGCTACCACCTTCCGCAATCAGACCGCCGTCATCTCCCTCCATACCATTATTGATCTCATCCTCACGTTTCTTTCCACTGTCGCCGGTGTTATCATCGTTTTTGCTGTTCTCACCTCCGCTGTTGCTGCCCTCGTCATCTTCACTATTGTTGCCACTGTTTTTGTCCTCGTATTCATCGTCACTACCCTTCTCATCTCCATCATCTTTGTCATCTTCGCTTATGTCAGGAACCTTCATAGCGCAAAGCTCTGTGACTGCATTCTTTCTATCCTTTCGGGACATTTTGATATCCTCTGGATCAGTGACACCTCCAACACCGGCATACTTCCTAGAAACAGCAATGAAATCTTGATCATATAGTAACAACACACATACTGTCCCAGGTAATACCATCGTTTCAAGATAGTCATTGTTTTCTTCTCGTCAAGGGCAATCCATTCATCAACCCGCACAACATGTTTCTGAAAACTCAGGTTCATAACATCCTCGTCAAGGGGGCGCGGGATGCGGATACCTGTTGACCACTGGCATAGAAAATGTTCGGTCTTGGAAAGAAGGTTATGCGAGACATTGAAACCAAGAAGATATATATTACTCGCCAGTGTGAACAGAAAAGCCACCGTAGCAGGTGGAATAGGATTGAACAGGAATTCATGGTCAACTCCATGCGCTTTCTTGTTGTAAAATAGAATTTGGCAAATTCCATCGACAATGAACGGAGCTTGCATGAGGCCTGTACGCATAGTCGGATCCTAACATACAATCAGCGAGAGCCTCAAAAGCATTATATGGCGTACCAAATAGTAAAAACCGAAATTGGTCATAAGTGCAAGATGCAGTAACTTGTTGTGCTTCTGAACCTTACTGTTTGTCCCTTTCTTGAACTTGAACGTTGTTTCAAAGAGCATTGCAACACGGTCCCATGAAGCTTTCCGTATACGAGTTTCCCTTCGCATCATCTATAAATTGTTCAGTGCACATGATAACACGACATTGACCTGAAATGCACTCACTAGCATCTTTACTTCTTCAGAAAGCACAAATGATGTTTCATCTTCATGGAGCAACTTCGACATGTGGTACTTCCAGATATTCTCCGTCCAATTCATCTGCAAATCACTTGTTGGATACATATGTAAAGCAATAATGGTCAACTCGTAGCTTTGAAGACATTGTCTGACTAGTTTTTTCGAGAGCCCCTTGTAATGACGCAACAGTTTTCCAGATGTATTAGCGAATCGAGCAAGTATGCGAAGCTCGATGTTACTCTCTCCTTCAAGCTGCAGTGGTTCAATGGGATCAACTGGTGGCTGATCGTGACATGTGGTAAGTGGGTTCGGCATAAGCATTGGAGGTTGTATACGGCCTATAGTGGAAGGAGTGTGAACTACCGAAGGTTCTTGTTGAGTGTTAGGAGGTGTAGGGAGTGGCCACCGAGGTTGATTAGGATGAATAGAGACTGGGGTCTTGAGGACAGACTTGCGAGGTATAGCCGGAGGTGATTGGAGAACAACATTGACTGTACGGACCTGCAACCCGGGAGAACTAGTGAGTAATGATAGCTTACAATGAATAGAAACATACCGAACTCGGAAATAAGGTCTTTGGAGAGCCAGGACCGGAACCAACTCCAGCGTATCCGAAGTTTAATTCAGTACCGGTTCCAAGATCGTCTTCGTCTTCGCTTTCAGGAGCTGAGCGGCCATGTTGTTCATAGTAATGATCCTCATAGCTGCTCCGGTGCTGTTCGAGAGCACTTTCCCTTTCTAGAAAAGAAAATTGCCTCTCAAAGAAAAAAAATCTATAATGTTAAGCTTACCATGAGCCTCATTGAGGTTGCGTTTGTATGTCTGGTTTTCCTTCTGCATTTTCTTCAATTCCCTCTGTAATTTCTCGAGTTCCTTTGTCTGACTACGGTCATCTGCAATTCAAGCAATAGTCAGTGCCAAGGTAAAAGAAAATGAAACGCAAGACCATTTTCTGCTTGTTTTGATGTCGGAATACGATGAGTCCTAGTCCGTGTTCCGGTAAGCAAATTTTGAGTCAAATCATCTTGAGGTCTATGTCGTTTTGATGCCTGACCATTGTCGCCATCAGATGGTCTCTTCAAATTTGTTTGAGAATTTGAACGACGGTGAGCAGCCATGAAAATTATAGAAGAAATAGTCAACGAAAAAAGTTTTATAAAGGCCGCACGGCAATGTTGCACGTGCAAACAACGACAGTGATACCTCAATAACTCCAAACACTCCACATTACGGGCACTCTGGACAATCCAAACTCATCTTCATGTCAAAAAGAAACTTGCCTACAAGGAAGCCCCATGAGTGTGATGTCTGTCACAATTACAGAGGTGAAAAAGCCGCTCACCTGCGAAATCACTTAGCGCATACTGGCTGCGGTAACGCACTAAAATTGCGAAATGCCACCAGTCAAAAACGTCAACAAACCATTCATAAAGACATCCATCGCGAGCCTTCACTAAGCCTTTCTATTTCATCGAATGATTTCCCCAACTTTGATGCCTCTACATTCACGAAGCATGACATTCCTGAATCTCCTCCACCTCCGAAAAAACCACGAATGACTGTTGAGGAAGTCACTGACGATGGTGACCCTAGTCCTGGAATGTCAAGAAATCACTTTACATCAATAGATTTCAGCGGAGCAGGGGCAGAACTAGGAGCAGAAACGGGGAAAAATGGCTTCCAGCGATTCAAAGATACCAAACATGAGAAGTCTGAGGAGATGTGGTCACCATTTAAAAGTCATAAAGAGTGGCAACTCGCGCGCTGGTTGATGCTGTCTGGGGTCAGTCATGGCGATATTGACTCTTTTGCTAAGTTGCCCATTGTACGCCATCTCTACAGATAATTCTTCCATCATTTAACAAGAAGTTCACAGATTCAGGACGAGCTACATTCATCATTTAAGGACAAACGTACCTTCGTAAAGAAAATTGATGCCTTGCCTACTGTGCGTGGGGGATGGATTTGCAAGGAGCTTGAAATTGTTGGAAACATCATGAAGAAGGCCGCCGATGGCACGGAGGTCCCGATGACTGAAGAAGTAGAACTCTGGAGACGGGATCCCATCGAATGTATCAAGGAGCTTATGGAGGACCCCCGGTTTGAGGAGCATATGCGATATGCACCAGAGAGGATGTTCACTGATGAAACCATGCATATGCGAGCAATAGATGAAATGTGGACAGGTGATTGGTGGTGGGCGACGCAGGTGTGCAACAATTTAGGTATAAAGATTAAGTCAGCTAACAGTGAGATCGGATATAGAAACTGTTACCAGAAGGGTCAACAATTGCACCAATAATCCTGGCATCCGACAAGACTCAACTCTCTACATTGAGTGGAGACAAGTCAGCTTGGCCTGTATATCTTACGCTCGGGAATATCGAATCATCTGTGAGGCGAAAACCGTCAGAGCAGGCCTCAATTTTGATAGGATATATACCGGTCTCAAAGCTGGAATGTTTCTCGAAGGATGCACGTTCTGTTGAGGGCTATCGGCTGTTCCATGACTGTATGGGCATGCTCCTCGAGGAGTTGATTGTCGCAGGAGATCCGCATAAAGGAGGGGTGAAGATGCTGTGCTCTGATGGCAAAATCCGATTTGTGTTCCCGCTACTTGCTGCATATGTAGCTGATTTCCCGGAACAGTGTCTTGTTGTGTGTTGCCAAGAAAATCGGTGCCCGAAATGCACTGCTCAGGAGAAAGAGCTCGGAGACCCGTTGCACTCCATTCTTCGAGACCCTGACAGGACAATTCAATCATTGCAAAAGGCAGCAAATGGAGAAAACACCTCTGCAGTCACGCTAGGCTTACGCCTCGTTACTCCATTTTGGGCTAGCTTACCACTATGCAATATCTTCCACTGTATCACACCCGACATTCTTCATCAGCTACACAAGGGAGTGTTCAAGGATCATATTGTGAAGTGGTCAACACGCGCAGTTACTGGGAAAAGTAAAAAGGAGCGAGAAAGAGAGATCGATATTCGGTTCCAATCGATGCCACGTCATCCGACCTTGCGCCATTTCAAGCAAGGAATTTCGTTGATTACGCAGTGGACCGGGCATGAGTATAAGAATATGGAGAAGATCTTCTTAGGTGTTATTTCTGGTGCCACCGAATCGGAAGAAATCGTTCTTTGTGTGTGGGCCATACTTGATTTTATCGAGTATTCCCAGTTCAGTCTGCACACGGATGAGTCTCTGGAGAAAATGGATGAAGCTTTACGCACCTTTCATTCCCATAAGGATGCTGCATTTGTGGATACGGGCATTCGACAAGCTTTCAACATTCCAAAAGTGCACTCCATGAACCATTACACTCCGATGATCCTCTCAATTGGAGCTGCTCCTGGTTACAACACGGAGTGGTCTGAGTGACTTCATATCGACTTTGCAAAGCTGGCATACCGAGCATCAAACAGGAGAGATTACATTAAACAGATGACACATTGGTTGGATCGAAGAGAGAAAGTTTTGTGGTTCACACGTTTCTTGGACTGGGCACTGGAAAAAGATTGTATTGACTGGCTGGCTACAAGAGAGGTCAATGAAGAGGAAAACGAGGAGGCTGTAACAATACCTGAGTTCGGAGAAGCTCTTCAGGTAGAAGGGATCCGGACCAATCTGCAGTACGGCGAATCCACGTGCATGGTTGCGAAACGAACTCCTGTCACTAACATCACTATCGAAAGCCTGGATTCTGACTTCGGTTGCTCGACATTTGTTTATGCTATGGAACGGTTTCTACGTGAACAAAATCTGCTCCGATCAGACTACTGGGATGCACAGCCGGCAAAATATAGCCTGTACAAACAATTTCGGGTTATCGTACTCCCTACACTTGAAATCTCGAATTCTCCCATTGTTGATGTCATGCATGCAACTGCCGCTCAGCCTGCTGTTCTCTCGGGTCGCGGGAAACGTAAATATACACCTGCCCAGTTTGAAACGGTTCTTGCGAGGAAGTCACTCCCAGACAGCCGGGAAGATTTGGATGTACTGGGCAAAGATGGTGCGTTTCCGACTCTTCTGATTTCACATTCTGCTAAGGCTATTTCAGGGCTTCACGTGGCGCAAGTACGTGCAATTTTTGACCTTCCCGGTCAGCTTGGTTCCTTCCCGCATCCCCTCGCATATGTGGAGTGGTTCACTCCTCTCCGCAAGCTCGATAAAGTTACACGAATGTATCGAGTTGAGCGCTCAATCCGGGGGCAAAATTCGTAACTCGTCAATCATTCCTATCACCTATATCGCCCGCAGCTGTCATCTTGTACCTTTTTACGGCAAACATGCAGATCCCACTTGGTCAAGTGAAAAAGTGCTAGATCAGTGCGAACATTTCTACCTCAATCCATATCTTAGGCCTATAGACTTTGTACTGTTACGACCTAAAGATAATAACTAAATTGAACCTAGTATTAATAACGGTCTAGTCCTGAATTCCATCTATTACTTCTCATATAAACCCTCAAATATAGGTAAGCATTCTATGTTGTATACAGAGTAATTGCCTGATATATACACACTATATGGACCATACAGCTATAGTATACAAGCACTATGTACTCAACATATGCTCAATGCAAGTTACCTGTAGCTATACTGTAGTATACGCGCTTGTACGGACATTACAGCTAAGCACACGGATAATTCGGAATATATGTCGTGCTATAAACATGTGGGTAAGCTCTATGGAGCTTTTCAGTGTTTCCTGATGCAGTAGTATCGCAGCTATCCTCATTTATTACAGTCCTATTGCGAGGTGTTGATATGAACCGTACTTTCAGAGCTCGTTAATTTCATAGAGAAGGATAGCAACCCACGTTACTTAGCTCCTGGTAGCTTCTACTCCTTCATCCCTGCGCTTTTCATTCCCAGCTCAGGCGTGTTATCCACAACACCCGAAGTCAATCTGCACTTGCGCGCGACTGCGTACATGCCCTCTATAAATAGGTAAATCCCTGCTCCCGCTCTCATCTCATCTTCAGAATGGCCCTTGAGTCTCCACGAAATTTTCAGCCCAGTTTTGCTGATTTGAAAATGTTGATGGACAGAGCAAATCACACCGAAGACCATCTTGCATCCTATGCAGAATCAGTGCTCAACATTCTGAAGGCCTATAAGGTGCGCGGCTCGAGTCTTTGACTCGAGATAAAGATTAAACATTGATTTTCATCATATACCTATTATACAGAGTTGTCCTAGTCATGTCAAGCCTCTAGTTGAAGCAATATTCACATCTGGAGTGGAAATAATGGAAAAAAATTCGAAGATAGATTTAGAGTAATGTTTTTATTCGACCATTCAAGTAATGCCTCATTGACCCTCCGTCCGTTTCAGAGATTTGCAGGTTTTGCGACACGTTGAAACGGACATGCTTAAATCGGACAATGATTCTAGAGAGTCAATTACTTGTACTGGACTGTATATCGCTCATTTTCAATCCAGAATAACCAAAACGGTGAGTCGATGAACTTAGTTACTACCCAACGACTCGGAGTTGAACGTTGATTTCACAGATATCGGAGTCCCTAGAGCCCCCCGCCGTCTTTGACCAAACAAATACGATATCACAACTCCGAGATCGAGGAAGTTTTCATTTAACTTACTCCGCATGCACTTTCAACAGTGCAAAAGGAGATATCAATACTACCACAAATACCAATGCGTCCTCGTATTCCAATTGCCACAATAATTTTGTTGACTCGCAAGTCAGATACGACTCTCAGGGCTCGTATTCAGATTCCTCTTCTAGTCATGTACATCTGCCTCCTGCTGTCCCTCCTTCTGAAGATGAAGTTCGCCGCCGCGATAAGATTAACAGGGTCCCGCCACTATCCACAACTGATATTGGGACTCGACCAAGCAATATTTATTCGAGTCCTTCCACTCCCTATCTATTCCCTTCCTCTCCGCTAGCGTGTGGTCCGTCTGGTAGGGTGAATTCACCCAACACACCCACAGACACACGTTACATCAGCTCCCCGACTCACTTACACCCTGTACGTCATAGAAGAGATACTTCTGGCGACATGAGGAAGGATCTCCTGGTGCGGGCTGCCGAGGCGAAATTGTTGACCCCAGTCGTCGATGAGCGCAGTGACCCCTTCCTCCTACTACAGCCACATCCAATATCGGACTTTTGTCCAAAATTGGGGCCACTTCAGGAGGCTTACATGTTTCTTCACCGTCAATTAGTCTCCACGTTGTCTCTCCTCAGAATCGGCATCTCGGTTTCTTTGACGAGGACAGGGCAAACTTGACTTCCAGGACAATAGGTGTCCGTTTACTTATTTTTTAGGTGTTTGACACTGTCCTCACTCCCAACTCGGACCACATCGCTCATTTCTTCTTATACCCAGCTGATGCATGGACATCAATTCTCGTCCCTATTTATAGTATGTACAGTGTACTTAATCTTATGTTGTATCGATATCATTACTATGTACTTATTGATCTAGGAGCCTTCCAACATAATATGTACTATATAGATTCACTTATTACCACTCATTGTAGTACTCTGTTGTAGGTAGTATCAGGATTGTATTGAATCCAGGTGGTTCAATTGTTCGTTCGAGCTTTGAAAGGCGCGTAAAGTGAACTCACCCCTTATTTGTGATAGCTCGTCATCAGGTTCTACAAGCATGTTACAAGTCGTATGGCCAACTTACCGTCAGCCAACGACAGGCACGAGGAAATGGTACGCAGACTTCACTCTCCTTGCATGATCAGCAAGAAGGGCTGGCACTACAGCGCACACTTATAGAGGAAGGCGAGATCCGCTATTAACAGTGATCCAAACAAAATGCCCTTTACACGCATTTCACCTTGCTTGCAATGGTCATTGAACATCCATAACCTCAAGCGCCCGTGCAAAATTTCTGTCATGCCTCACCCCAAGTTCCTTAGCCCATAAGCTCTCTAGCATAGCTCCCGATCTCCTCAGACCCCTTCCTTGAATCCCTGAGAACACTTCAAACGTCCCACAGACCTCCTTACCGCTAGAACCACCTCCGCAACCCTTAGCTCCCCTCCATTCAACCGAATCATTCCACGACAGGGTCCTGGAACCCCGTACATGCGTCCATCATTCCATCCTCATGTACTTAGAATCCCCATTAAGTGCTCGCTTCATATCATGTCTCCTTGTTAACTTCCCCATACGTATTTAATCAGTCCAGGAGCGTTCAGAAGCCCAGCTTGGTATATTTTGAACACACACCCTTTTGCATAGGTCCAGTCCCTGTCCCTTTGTACCTGCTAACCATACGGATTTCTCTTTACTCTCTGTTTCTCTACCTCTGTTTCTCTCTACTTCTGTCTATTGTCTCTCTGATCGTCTGTACGATCGAATATACGCTTTTACTTCAAGTCTAAGCCTTCCGAGTGAGTCCCCGAGCTCCCTCGAACATTACTAAAGCTCCCCAACGCCTACCCGCTTGGTGAGCTACTCTTCCCCAAACCTTCCAGAGCTCCCTAGCTACTTCGTAAGCTTCGGGACCTCGATCTAGGTAACGTCGAAGCTACCCCTCACGTCGAACTACGTATTGCTTCTCCGTTACCACCTCCCACACTCGAGGACGACCATCCTCAAACCTAGTCCCCAGGGACCTACCCTCCCTGGCATATCCCTTCTCGGGAGCTTACACCCTCGAGACCCCGTTGCATAAACTACCTACTCGACTCTATATTGACGTTCTAGCGAGTACAACTCCTACTACGCAATATCTTACGGTCCCGCATTCGTCCCGAACCTCCCTACGCATTAGGGACCTCCCTGGACCTCCTAGGAACCCCTCAAGGGTCACCATCTCGTCGTTCCAACCACTACTAGGTCATTCCCGTCCTCGGTCGCGGTTCTCGTAGCTCCCTTCGAGCTCCAGCCTGCTCCTAGCACGCTACAACATAAACCTCCACATACCAAAACCTACCCTAAGACCTATCTTGACCCAGGTCTTACATTATACCAAGCTCTCCCGTCACCGAACGGACTCGTCGCGACGAAATGTCGGCGACGTCAACGGAACGACCTTCTAGTTCCAAGACCGAATCAAAGAAACAAAAGAGCGCCTTATCTCGTGGAAACACGACACAAGCTCAAAAATCGAACCAGGCTGCTAGCTCCACTGTCATCACGGTGGCAGCTGGTCAACGCCTGATGTCCATCCCAGAACAGTCGTTCGGGGATGAAACCGCCAGCAACATCCGGACCCCAGAGGGACGTCAACCGGAAGTTCAGGGGCCCCCTCCAGTGGAACCTGGGATGGGACCACCACAACGGAGGTTTACCTCCATGGGTTACGCCCAACCTGCCAGTAGTCCCATGGGAGGTTTCGCATACTCCCCTACCTGGGGAACGAGAGGACCTCCCCCTGGACCGATACCGCAGCTAGACATGGAGTCAGCTTCGAACGCGGGTGGAAGAGTCAGCGGTCAAGTAGCCGCTATCGAAAGGATACAAGGGGGAAGTACTGACCCTCTCACAGTACGACAACAGGAGAAACTTCCAGAGAGGAGGGTATCCCCTGCCGTATCCGAACAATCTCGGACGTCATCCCGGAGGTTACCAACACCTCCAGTACAGTCCCTTAACCTTCCTCCCCCGAGACGAGGAAGTTCACTCTCCAGTCTCCTGAAGAGCCCAGCTATGAATACGCCCAACTGGGAGCGTACACATGCAATACACCATAGCAGGACCAACTTCCCAGTACAACCCTTGTCCGAAATGACATTGCGTCTGGAAGACGTCATTCGAATTCAGGAGTGTATCCCGGAGGATGTAGCTATGGTCCTAAGGGAGGTATTGGAGTCAATGGGGATCGAAATATTGGGAGACGGTCTCGAATTCTCAGACCTACGAGTACAGTTCCTAACAGTGGGAACTCAACTGGAGATAGACCTCCCAGAGAAGGCCCAGCAGTGGCTGATGACCCCCGCGAACTGATCAGATTTTCTCTGGCTGTACAACGTCCTATTGGACCCAGAGAGGATGTTGGAACTGTTAGAGGCAGAGGCACGTTACGGGCGATCGTTCCGAAACTCGAGGGGAATACTTCCCCTCCTCCCTCATACCCATGGAAGGGAGAAGGAATTCTGTGGCGAAGCAGGGCTACGTATATTGTACCGAGCCTCTAACTACAGATCAGGAGCCGTACGGTTTGAACCTCCCCCTTCGAGGGTGAACATACCGAACTACCAGGCGATCCAAATACTTCGGAACGCAAACCTAGCGGAAGCAGCAGCTAAAATCGATGAGGAAAGTAACGAGGATGCTAACGCAATCGCTGCAAAAAATCGTAGACGCAGGAGGTACACCACGGCTCACCTCCTGGCCCCAGTGGAGTCAATGCCTGATCAGGATAGTCCCGTCCGGGTCCGTAACGGGCAGACGGTATACACGTACACGCCCATGAGGCATATGCACCAGCTTCTGGTCAGGAGTGAGGAGTCCGAAGCGATGTTGTGTTCGCAGGAGACCCGACACCGGACGCTACTAGCGGAATCAGACACTCTGATGCTGTCGGAGGAACTTTCTGGATCGAATCTAGAAAGAGCTTTGGAATTCCGTCGCAGACTGGTCGCGGATAATCGGGGAACCTCGTATATGGTTCAATGCGAACTCGAAAGCGTAGGGGAGTTCCCTCCGGAGCAATTTGACCAGAAAGGGCAGCTCCATGGATCTGATGGTCGTTTCCTGGCACAGAAACATTCATCGCCCAGGAATATCGAGGTTCCTGAACTCCTTAACCCCGGTAACACGGCCACGAGGAGCCCCCAGTTACGCTCTGGGACCTCCCCCACTGTACATGCCTTGGCTCAAAATTCGACTCCTCCCCCCAGAGTTAACCTGCAAACGAAACCCTTAACCCCAGTCTCGACGCAGCGATACCAGTTTGGTGAGGTGAGGATGGATGGCGCACAACATTCATCCCGGATCTCCGGACAAGATCTGACAGCTCGGTTGGCTCCCAACCCTGTACACGTTCCTCCAAGACTGAGCAATCCATCAGTCATTCCGTATCAAGGGTCGGTATCGATGCAATCTCAGGCAGTGGGAACGGAAAGTCAAAGGGGTCCGAACCAACGAAGAACGTTGACAGTTCACGAAGAGGCGGTACTCCCGCAGGGAGCTCCTTTTGGAACTCCCTTTGTAACGGGAGCTCAGACGAACCGACCTGGCATGGCTTTCGAGTCGGCACACTCTCAGGAATCGGTAGCAATGATCCAACAACAGGCTCGGGTCATTGAGACGCTCCAGGAACAACTCCGTGAGGTAAAGGAAGGATT